TGCTCAGTTTCATCAGCCTCTTACCAATCTCAAAAACGTTGCCCACTCATTAAAAGAAGAGTTACAGTTGTCACAAGGCAAGTTTTAAATATTTTATGTTTTATTACATTTTACCACATTGATTTGCTCTTAAAGGCAGTAGTGAATATTCCTAGGTACTATTAAGCCAGTTGTGATCTATTAAACAGCTTGTGGGTACAGTTGGCCCAGGTTTGAGACTAATTTTTACCGACATCACCAACTGAATGGTAAGATAATAATGAAGAGAGATTTTAAAATTTTACTTAATTTACGATCTAATGGCATAGCCACACTGTTTACTACATCTTGATTTATAAATAATTTTTATGCATTTTGTTAAACAATTAATAGCACATGCTCTATGTAGGAGGATGTATTTGCTTGTGCGTGCTTGGAAAACATTAATATTTAAAATCCAGTCTTAATGTTCCTAAGGCATACATTAAATTGGACCCTTGTTAATTCCCTAAATAACAGCATACAAAACATTGAGAATAATAAAAACTAAATGTACAATGAAGAAATTATCTTTATATTTTTATTTTGTGTTATCTGACAAAATGATAAGTAAAAATATTTATGAAGAATAAATCCTTATGGTTATTGACTTTTATTTAATTAAAAGGAAATCATTTTACTTAAGACTATTTAAAAGCTTTGTACTCTACAGCAACGTTTTTATTTACCAAGCTCATTTGCAACAAATGTTTCAAAGAGGTGTATACTGTTTGTATCTTAAAAAATTTATACATAGGGAGTATAAGAAGAGGAGTACAAACAAGATAAGATATAAGAATTGTACTTGCTTATATGATCAGATTTCCTATTAATTATGGTAGGAAAAGGTTAGTGTTAGGTTGTATATTTAATAAAATTGCACAGCAAAAACTGTTTTTCTTAGTTTCATAGTCCAATGTTTATGATCTTTGTTCCAGATAAAATATAGTTGTTTCTATATTTGAAATATATATTTTAAAATATTGTAATCTTAATGTATTATTAAAATATGTTATCTTCCTCATAGGATCTGGGACTTAGGAGTGTACTTGGTGAAATATATCCTAGCATATCTAGAGTAAGATTTTCCTAGAGAACCAAATAAATCTGAAAAGATGTCACACTCCCATCATTGTCTTCATTTTTAAAATTTTCCCTATTGTTTAAAATCCCTATAGAGAAAGTCATTAATGTTGGCTGGGTAGATATTCCCATAATTCCTCTTCCCATGCTGATAAAGCAATCATGCAGAGAGATGTTGGGCCTGCACTATTTCTCCATCCCTGCTTCTGGTTCTGGCAGAAGGAAAAGCTGTCCTTAATGTATGTAAATGGAAGCTAAATTTATTTTATTTGTAGGTCAGGTGAAAATGGCCTTTGAATGAAGGCCAGTATAAGATAGAGATAACTTTGTGACAGAACTTCTTCATCTGTGCTGTTTGAAAAATATTGCTTTGCAAAAAATTCATAAGTGACATCGATAGATGGACTCCAGAGACCAACCGAAACTCCTCTTTCTCATGAACATTGACTGCCTTTTAACCATGTAGAAGGGTATATTCCATTGTTATAACAATTATCTGATTATACTAGTTTTTCTAACAGTATGAAATAAATTTCTCAGTCAATAGACTGATTTAATCTAAAATACTGTAGAAGTCAATTTTGAACATCAGTGATCTGCTTGAATAGTAAATCATCCTCTTTTTATAACAGTGTTAAGTCAATGTACTCAATAGTTAGAACTGCTAATATTAAAAAAAAAACCCACTAAGTAGAACTAAAAAATTACAGTTAGTAAATATGAAGATAAGCAGGTTTTTTTTTTCAAAAGATTTTATTAAAAAAAGATTTTATTTATTTGAGAGAGAAAAAGCAGGCATGGGGAGGGGTAGAGAGAGAAAGAAACACCCTGCTGAGCAGAGTCCAACACAGTGTTTAATCCCAGGACCCCGAGATCATGACCTGAGCTGAAATTAAGAGTTGGATGCTTAACTGACTGAGCCACCCACTTACCCCTGAGGATAAACAGTTTATAACATGAGTCTTTCACATTTTTTTTATCTTGGAAAAAACACTTCAGAATTCTCCATTAAAATCTCATGATTAATGACAAAGGATTATAGATGGATAACTCTGCAAAAGGATTAAATCTTTCATAAACACCTAGAACAAATGAAAACTACTGTTTCAATATCTGTATTCTACACCTAGATAAACATGCAGAAAAATACACATTTGTTTTAAGTAGTTTAAAAAATCCACAAGAAAGAAAGTAATCTGTGAAAGTTTATAAAACTGTTGATTAAATATAAAGAAATAATAAGTTATTCCTACTTCTTATAGGCACTACTATCTTAGTGCTTAAGATAGTATCTACAAAATGCCCTGCAGCATTGTACTATGTATCAAAAATTTCTTGGAGAAATAAAGAAACAACTACTACAAACCTTATATACTTAAGTGGTATTTGGTATTTGGTTCTGGAGTTTGTAACACTTTAGGAGACTAGGAGAGACAGAGAGAGAGAGATGAGAGGTACAGATTATTAATTTCCATTTTTAATCTTGAGGAATTAATTCCATCTCTCTCAATTTCTCTCAACCCTATTTTGACCATTGTTAAACATGTGACTCATATACTCTGCCTCCAAAGTCCTATCTATCACCACCTTACTTTGTGCCTTCTATTTTTTAAAACTCATATTTTCCTGGCTTTCTCACTCTTTTATGGGACCCTAATTTTGCCCAATTCTTCCTAAGCCCTACTCAGATTCTACCCCTGTTCTCCTCAGGGTGCTTGCTTTTTTCACATTTTCAGTATGGCTATTTCAGATTTCACATAAGAAGCAGCAGTAAGAGAGAGTTTTTTGCTTTCCTGCTTGGAATCCTTGATCCATATTGCTACTTACAGTAAAATTTCTGAGACACAAAATTACTCCTTTGTGTGGAATTGTCAGTGGCTCCCAATATTTGTCGGGATAAAACCTTAGTATGACTTAGAACACTTTTACATGACCTTGGGGTCATTCACTCAACAGATACTTATTGAGCACCTACTATGTCTAGTTACGGTTCCTAGTGCTTGGAACACAGCAGTGAACAGAACAGGAAAAGATCCCTGCCCTCATGAAGACTACATTCTGGTGGTGAGAGACAGACAGTAAATGATACATACAGCATATAATTAACTTTTCCAGCATATTAGAGGATAAGAGATGCTATAATAAAAAAAGGAGGTCAGAACTTCTGGGAGTGGCTGAGGCAGGCCGTGTGTCCATGGAACAGTCAGGATCAGCCTTCAGAGTTTTCAGTGCATGTCACTACCACAGGCACCCTATCTTCCCACCATACTTCACATCTTCCTTTCTGTGAACAGCCTTTGTTCTATCACTTATTATCACTTTGGTCTAACACAAAGTGTCCAATTTTCACTGGAGCCCTTTCTTTGCCCACCCCATTTCTGCTTTTGATTCCACATTCTGCTATGGCATCATTCCCTCCTCCAGTCTCCCCCTGCCTACCCCTCTCCTCCCGGATAGTTGGTCGTCCCTCTTCTTTATTCATCTATGTCACAGTTTTTTGCAATTACTTACTTTCATATTTATGATTATTATTATTTGCTGGGTTATGCTACAGCAACAAAACCCCCTAAATTTTAGTGGTCTATTTCTCATTCTCACATTTTAGTTGTAGCAACTGCAGAAAAAACTGTGGCTCTGATCCATGAGTTCCCTTCATTCCAGGAGTAACCTACATTTGGGACATGCCCTTTTCACAGCAGAAGGGAAAAGGGAATAGTCAAAATGGCAATGCCTCTTCAAACTTCTCAGGTATAGCACACATTGTGTATGCCCACATTCTTGAAATCAGTGGTGTGGAAAAGATTCCCAGAGAGTCCCTGCAAATCACGTGACCATGGCTGGTGGCTGGAATCCTCTTATCAAAGCAGTCATTGTGAGCCATACAATCTACCACACTTGTGTATCTCACACAGTGGACTCTGTTTACCATGAGTTCTAGTTCTGTGTCTTTCGTCAACAAACCCATTTCCTAGTGCACCAAAGCAGCTTGACAAAATGCCTTAAGAAGTGAAACCAGAAAAAGAGGATGGGAACTAACATTTAGTTCGTTAGTGTCATTGTCCCAGGCACCAACACACCTGATTACTTCCGTGTTACAGACTAGGCAGATTAGATTAGATTACGTCCAGTGAAATAATTTGTGCATGGCAACAGTTCTGAAATGCGGGATCCAGCTTAAGTGACTCTACACCTGCTTTCTAGTTCACCATCCTGTCCCTGTAGATGTCTATAAGCTACAGCTCTCATGCAGTGATTTCTTAATATGAAAATAAAGAAAGGAGACAGATACAATAATGCTGTGAAGGCTGATTCTATTTCTGCACATCTCGCATTTCACCTAATCTTATAATAACTCCCACCATTTTTTTATTTCAGGCATTTGTTATATCCCATTTAGAGTTCCATAATAACCTCTTTATTCCTCACTCTCTCTAGGTTCCATTCTACACCCAAATAATGTTCCCAAAGCTTATCTTGTAGCATGTCATTCTTCTGTTTGAAACTGTTTCAAGGTTTCTAATGATCTGTACTACAAACTTGAGTTTGTGCTCTTAACCTACATGGTCTTGCTATTCTTCTGCAAATCCCTCTGCTGAACTAGCGACATGTTTAGGATCTCATCTTCACTTTTCCAAATATAAACTCTGCTTTCCCTGCTCACACCACCTGAAATAACCCTCCTTTTGCCTTCTTTTATAAAAATGTTTTTCAACTTGAAGTCAATTTGAACTGTTTATTTAATTAATATCACTCAGGTCCCCACCTGAAAGAGGTCTTTCGCTCCTGTATCTCCATGGCACTTTGTAGCTGTAACAACTGAAATTATTACGGATGTTGAGAGTGGATATCGATATAACAGCTGTGTTCAGATATTTGAAGGGTGGTCAGCTGGAAGGAGGATAGGCTTCCTCTCTGAAGCTCTACAGGGAAGAACACAGACAAGCGTACATATGTTATGAGGGAATAGATTGTAGCAACTTCAGTATCAGCCTCAAGAAAGAGTGAATTCTTTCTTCAAAGGAAGTGTTGAAGGGAAATCTGGATGCTCCTTGATTGTGGATCTCATAGGATTTATGATTCAAACATCATCATTCATCTTATATTAGTTTGTGTCCATGGTGTTTTCTGTAATAAATATGAGTTGTTTAAGGACTTTGGTCTTGTTTATATTTGTGCCTCTCTTCATATTTATTGGATTGGCTTTGTTATACAAACAGACTATGGACACACATACCACTAGTATCACATGGCGTAGCCTTAAAATAAATATTATTAAGAGAAAAAGTTGCAAGTAAAAAAGGAGCAGAGCGTCTGTCAACCTCCAAATTCTCACAACCCCATAGAGGTGGGTTTTAAATTGGGCCTGGCTTGGCTGCATGAACCCAACTGAAGAGGCTTTAGGGAGTGAATATTGTTCTATTCAATATAAATTCCCTGCTAGAGGAATGGGCCTCAGTTAGGAATGGAGGAGCCTCTGGATCTCTGCCTCTGATACCAACCTATATTCTCACTGGGCTAATTTCTTGTTAAGTTATCAAAAGGGAGGGACAGATGAACATAAGGGAAGGGAAGGAAAAATAAGATGAAATCAGAGAGGGAGGAAAACCACCAGAGACTCCTAACTATAAGGAACCTGCTGAAGGTTGCTGGAGAGGAGGTGGGGGGGATGGGGTAACTGGGTGATGGGAATTAAGAAGGTACTTGAAGTAATAGGTATTAGGTATGTATGAAACTGATGACTCAATGAATTCTACTTCTGGAATTAATAACAGATATATGCTAATTAAATTGAACTTAAATGAAAAATTTTTTTAAAAGGGAGGGAATGAATCACACAAGACACTCAGATCTGTTTCTTACATTTGCAATGTCTTTGCATGAAGACAGGTGCTCCCTAACAATGGGAACAAAAGAGAAAGAAAGTAAATGGATTGCTACCATTTTCATATATTTATCTGGCACAAGAAGAGAGAGTAGAAAATGGAAAGAAACCTGTAAACTTTTGTATCCAGTTAGAAGATAATAGTTCATGTGCCCAGTGGAAAGTGTGTCAATTCATTATCCACTGTAAGAAATGCAAAACAATGGGGATGCCTGGGTGGCTCAGTTGGTTAAGCGTCTGACTCTTGGTTTCAGGTCAGGTTATGAACTTTGGGTCAAGAGATCAAGCTCCCAGTTGGGCTCTGTTTCTACACTGACAGTGGAGCCTGCTTAAAATTCTCTTTCCCCCTCTCCCTCCACTCCTGTGAGCACTTGTGTATGTGCTCTCTCTCTCTCATTAAAAAACAAAAACAAAAACAAAAAACCAAAATGTAAACTAAAGACTAGCTTACTACTGGGAAAAAGGAAACGTGAAAGACTGGAAAGAAGTGCAATAACAGAATAGATGGGGTGACTGGAAAACTGGGCATGGCAGGTGCAGAAACCCAGGCAGGAGCAGAGGAATAAATACAGAAAGCTAGGAGAGGGCTGGAGGCAAGAAAAGGCTGGTCAGCACTGATCAAGGCTACAACAGGGATGGAGCTTGAAAACATTATGCCAAGTGCAAGAAGTCACACACAAAAGACCACGTATTACATGATTCCATTCATATGAAATACCCACCATATGCAAATCCATTGAGGCAGAAAGCAGATGAGTTTTTGTCAGGGGCTGGGGAGAGGGGAGAGTATGGAGTAACTGCTTAAATGGGCATAGGGATGCCTAATGCTGTCAGTGTGATAACTATGTCTTGAAACAAGATAGAGGTGATAGTACAACATTGTGAGTGTACTAAATGCCAGGGAGTTGTACACTTTAAAATGGTGAATGGTTAATTTTATGTGAACCTTGTAAGATTTTACCTCAGTTATAAAGAAGAACAGATTGGTTAAGGTGACTCTGGGAGGAATAGAATTCTAATTATGCTTCCTTTTTTTTTTTTTTTTTCTTCAGTTGTCCAAGATTACAGCTTTTTAGTCCAGCCAAATTTAGGTCATATACCTTCTTGTATGGAGGCAATGCAAGAAAGTATCCTCCCCTGAGGCTTCCTAGTGGGATAGACCTAGGATTTCATGGACCACCAAGATTACAGAAAACGAGGAAGACGTAATTTTCCAAAAGTAATAATTAGGTTATTAGGAAGGGGAAGTGGATATTGGACATACACAATATTCCTAAACTATCCCTATTGGAAGCACACACACACACACACAAAGTCTGTAATCAGGCATAAAACAACCTTTGTAAGCAAAACTAGTAAGATGTGTTGAAAGAGCAAACAAGAATCCTCAGACACATTTACTACTATTTTTTTAAAAAAGATTTTACTTATTTATTTGAGAGAGAGTGAGAGAGAGAGAGCACGAGGTGGGGAGCATCAGAGGGAGAACCAGACTCCCCGCTGAACAGAGAGCCCGATGTGCGACTCAATCCTGGGACTCTGGGATCATGACCTGAGCTGAAAGTAGTTGTTTAACTGACTGAGTCACCCGGGCATACCTATTTACTACTATTTTTAGAATTCAACCTTTTCTTAAAAAATACATGTGGCTGCTTTCAAGGTGAAAACAGATGCTTTGGAATATACAAATAGAACAAAATTCTGTGCCCTTTGAGGGCATATTGTGTAGGATTCAGAAGATAAATAGAGCTGGCCCACAGCCCTTTGAAGTGAAGTGGAATGCAACGAGTGCTTTGAAAATGGTATGGGAGAAGAGCTATTACAACTAGTTCTCTTCTCTTCATTAGTCAGAGTTCCTAGGATTTTTTGTGGGGTTATGTTTTTATGAAAAATTGGGAATTTAGATGAATTTTCTTGAGGTGTATGACAGGTCTGAAGAGGAACTACTGAGATAAAACAGCAGTAAGTTGACGCTTGATTTTTAGAACACGAGGAGTAGAAGGTATGTACTGCAGTTCATGTCTGCGTCTGTTCCCATATCCAATATGTACGATGTGCACGATACTTGTCCTCTGTGGCAACTGAGAAGAGTTGCACTGGGGAAAGCATTTAAATGTTGTGAAAAATTGAATATAATCAGAACACTGTGGCTGTTCAATGTATTAAGGAAAAAGCTTAGTTGGTCAAGATTCTTCTTTTTGATAGTTTTTATCATAACAGGAATTTACCTGAAACACAGATGACTTCTATTGTACACTTTATACTATAATACGACACCAGGCAAATATTCATTTAAATAAGAAAGGAATGAACTTCAAAACAATTTTTTTTTTTAACTGGCATACATGTCAAAAAATGTACAGACTTGGATGTAATATAACAAAACACACAGATCACTGGGTAGAGATTCCAAAGACCTGGATTTGAGTTCTGACTACCACTCTCTTTGTGAAGCCAGGTGGGCCATTTGAACTCTCTGTAACTTAGTTTCCTGCCTTACAGTGATGTTGTGCAGAGTATCAAACAAATGTCGTCTGTGATAGATTTCCTTCTTTTACTTGCTGGACTCTTTCTCCAGAGACAGCTTTATTTTCTCACAATACTGCTCCTGGTTTTAATGCTGTTGGAGATAATGAGGGACTACAGAAGCTGGTTAATGCCCCCAATTCCTCATTCTAAGAATAATCTTATCTGCAAAATGCTATCTTTCCATTGGCAAGTCACACATTTGTTTCCACGGTTGGGGAGTGTAATCCTGCCATGGGTAAATCAGACTGCGGCTGCCTTTTTCTGCCAGTCTTTAGCTCTCACGTTCTCTTCACCACACACTTCAGTCACAGGGAGTTTATTTAACATTGGGACTTAGTTCCAGCTGAGTCATCCTCAGTTACACAGTTCCTGATACGAAAACAAAATAAGAGCCAAAACACAAAAGCAGCAGGAAATCTGTAGTTAGCCAGATACAACACCAGGATGGTAGATATGGAAGTGGTTAATATGAAATAATAACAGATGGGGAGGGTGGTGAGCATCACTTCTTCTAGAGGGATGGTGAGAAGTGGGGTGGGAAATGGCTGGTGGCTGGTGTGTAGGAGAGGGAAGGGAAGAACGATGAACAGCAGACAGACTGGCTGACGGTGAGGAATGGAAGGACAAAGAGGATCTGTATCTAAGCACAATTGGGTGTACTTAGATTCTATTTTAGATTATGTCAAATGACACTTTTCCCCGTGCAGCTACTGGGAACTGACATTTAATTAGTGAATGACAAGCGTGAAATAGCAAGGTGACATGGAACCACTTAAGAATAAAGCCATCATGATTTCTCTTGCAGTTTATTCCTACAAAAGTATTGTATTGTCCTTTATTAAACCTTCACAATATTACTGTGAGAAAGATAAATAACAAGAACCAGCTATTCACTCTTCTTTGTGGACTAAACAAAAGGAAATTGGTTTAAATTATAGTTAAGTAAAACTGTCTTGGCTAAAAGGCCCGTATCTGTGCTAAAAAGGTATTCCTTAAATGAGTTACCCATTCTAGTCCATAGCTATGGAATTTACTAAGTTTTATTTTTATGACACATTAGCTTGAAGCCAGGGTAATTCCATTGGAAGACCCAGGGCTGACCATACACTTAGAAGGCAAAGTCGGCTTTCTACATGAGATGCTTAATACTCTCGTGCCCTCAAATTTTCTCCCAAAGGGCTGACACGTTTCCTGAAATTTTCGCATTACTGGCTCTCTGGGAGGAGTCACCGAGGACCCCTGCAATGGAAAAGAGAATATGGATTGCACCATACATTGATTTTAACCATCTACATTCACTTAGATAATTTTCTCGAAAACAATTTCCAATTATCTGGAAAAGTTCCAAGAAAATGGAAAATGGGACAGATAATTTTCAACAGATTGGAGCAATGATTCAAGAATCATTTAAGGTGGTGGTTGCTGGCAGAAATTCCCTGGTGCTGGCTTGTGAACATGCACATCCCTAGTGAAGGAGGCCAGCCATTGTGACAACGAAAGACCCATCTA